GTCAGGCCTGGTTAGTACTTGGATGGGAGACCACCTAGGAAGACCAGGTGCTCTAAGCATAAAAAATAAAAAATAAAAAAATAAGGAATTGTAAGCTGACAAGGTCATTGTAATCTGTGAGGTCAACCAAGGATTGCCTTGCCTAAAAAATAAAAAAATAAATAAAATATTTTATTTTTTATTATACAAGTAATACACTTCACACCAAAAAGATCTTATTCTAAATATCCTATTAATATGTACTCTTTTTTTCATTCATCAATTTATCTTGTCTCTCTTTCCATATCAGTAATACAGAGCTAGAACATACTAAATATCTTACTCTTAAGTTTGTATAATTTATGACATAAATTATAGACATTTTATGTAATTTGCACTGTTGCTAGCTTTTGAGTTGATTCCAAATTTTTAATAACATAACATTACAATAAACATCCTTGTCTTATGTCTTATTATCTTCTTAGGGAAAATTATTAGAAGTGTACTTGCTAAGTCAAAAGATACATGTGTTTTTAAGGCCTTTGATTCATATTGCCAAAATACTTCCTAGAAACTTCGCTTTATTTATTTATTTATTTATTTATTTATTTATTTATTTATTTATTTTAACTTTGCATCATTTAGATACCTAGATAGTTATATTATTAAAAAAAATGCTTTATAAAAACAACAAAAAAGATGTAATACATTTTAAAAAAATAAAATAGTAATCCAAAATTGGGTTTGAAAGGAAGACTTTGAGCCAGATGCCAAAGTCTTCAGTCAGCTACAGCCACAGTCCCCAACCTTTTTGGTACAAGGGATTGGTGTTCCTATGAGAATCTAATCTGAGGTAGAGCTGAAGTGGTGGTGCTAGCTCTGGGGAGCAGCTGCAAATACAGATGAAGCTTTGCTCACTTGCTTGCTGCTCACCTCTTGCTGTGCGGCCTGTACAGGTCCGCAGCCTGGGAGTTGGGGACCCCTGATCTACAGAACTGATTGGAAGGCCGGTAAATAACAGGAGTAAGGTGGGAGAGAGGAGGTTTTGTTAAATAGAGTGGAACTCCAATATGGAAGGAAAAGAAAGTTATTGTAGTAAGAAGAGGTAAAGAGAACATCAATTCTACTCCTGGTCTCAAGAAACAATCCAAGAAAATAGTCACCCTTTCTGGGCAGCAGAGAAAATGACCTAAGTAAGGAGCCAGATTTAAGGAAAGTCCAAGAAATGGAACAAAAACTCACGGCCATGGGTAAAGATATTACAAAGTTTGCCAATTGCTTACATCAATTCCAGATGTTACACAGTGAAATGGTTTGAGAGATGAGGGAGAACTAGAGAACTATGTCAGGAAAAGAAAATTCTGAGTGTTAGAAGGATGGAGCACGCATAGCTGGGATGAAGAATGGACTTATACTTTGGGCATTGATTGCAGACATGAGAACACAGACTGGATGGTTTATTTAAGGAGGGTGGGCAGGGGTCTACTGATCAGACCTGACAAAGTTGGCAAGATAATGGCCAGAGCTCCAGACTCTAGGCAGTGGTCCACTTGCCTAGTCCCACGCTTCTAAATGCTACTGCTGCTAGAGTCTCCACATTGTCCCGATAGCCCAAGCCCATTTATGTCTGGTGCAGTTACTCATTCTTGTTCCCTAAACTATCTCTAGGCCAAAAATCAGCAAATAATGATCCAACACGGAGCTGGTATTTTAGCAAAGATGAAAATACCATCTGGCTCTTTATAGATAAAGCTAGATGACCCCTCAAATAAATCATCAAATTTTACATATCTAGATCTACAATGCAATTTTTAAATTCAATTTACCGAGCAATTCAGTTTGTTGAAATAGTTGCCAGAGTATTATTCAACAGAAGCAAAAAGCTATATCCAATAGGTATTTTAAATCATTATTTCTAATATCAAAATGATAATTAAAGTACCCAGTAACAGAAGAACAGTCCAAGCCCTCTCTGTAAAGCCCGTCCTTACTATCCCAGTTCTCTAGCTTTGCAGCAGCTATACTTGCATCGCACAAGTTAGCACTTAACTGTACACTCTCCTTTCAGAAAATAGCACTTACTATCTTTTTCTGATTATTAAAGTTGTGTATTCATCACAGAATATTTGGAAAATATAGAAAAGTATACAGAAGAAAACTTAAATTATGTATCCTTCATCATGGAAAACTGCTATTGACATTTGATGAATACACTTTCTGTCTTTGTTCTATGCATTTGTGAATACAAAGATAAAAGCAATATATATATTAAAAGGTAGTGATCATATGGATATTTTCTTATATTGGTATATGTGAACATTTATAACCAATTCTCTCCTACTGGGTATCTAAGAAATTTCCAATTTTCACTCCTGTAAACAATAATTCATCATAAAATCTCTAATTATTTCCTTAAGAAAGGTAAATACACCTTGTTTTTCTTTTCCCTGATCAACTCAGTGTGTGGTAGTCTAATCTCTCCATCCATATTAGCTCCTAGAGGTAAAGTTATAAAATATATTAATAGATAAGCAAAGATAAGATAAAAAAATCTATAATTACAATCATCAGAAGAGAGTTCCATGGTAATTTTACAATGCAACTTGTTCTTTAACTGTAAATTGGAATCTAATAATACATTTGAGACAATAAATATAATACTTACAACACTAAAAAGAAAAATAGGTTCACATTTATCTCTAAATGGCTGCAAAGTCACAATGCTGTCAGCTTCTGCCTGAAAAAAAGAATTTCACGTAACAATAAAGGAAACTATATCCAAGTCATTAGATAGACTATGAACAAAAAACACAGAGATACATGTACTTTTTACTTTTATGTTTACTACATCATTTTCTTAGTATGTTATCGTTGTTTTAAGGATTAAATTGCATACACTGGCAAGTCAGGCCCTGTATCATTTGGCCTCAACCTGACTTCTGACTGTTCACCTTTATGGTACCTAATCTGCAGCTAAACTCATCTCCTTATAGTTTGCTAGACACTACCTGCACTTTCCTGGCTCCTTACCTGGTCCTTTTCCAACCCAGATAAAATGTCCAATCCAGCTGAGAAGTGATCTTTCTCCCTCCTGTTGCAAATCATCTCCTGTCCATTTCAATATTGTAATACTGTTATATGGGCCTATCTTATCTCCTTTGTTAGAAGGAGATCTATGTACACAGATTGACGATGCTTCATATTCAACTTTACATGTAAACCCTCCCCCTGGATGTTATAGGGCCATACATATAAAGGAGCTTGCTAAATGCTTCCAAACAAATAGGTTGTTCAAAATTCAAAATTTTTAATTTTTATGTTTGTAATTTTCTTAAAAATTTCTCACAAATTTCAAGTTGACTTAACTAGATTATAAACAATTATGTATTAAGTAATAATGTGTTCCTCCATATTTACAGAGCCAGCTGTCTGAAGGAGGTCATTTGGTAGGGTCTTCTATAAGAGTAGCTTTTTGCAACCTAAGGCAATTGTTTTCAAACTGGGATTTCCGGAGGTTCCCCAATCACTACCAAGGATGGTGAGGGGGAAGCCAAGAGAGGGCCCCTTAGCTTTGTGTTGTAATTTTTTTTTTAGCGTATTGGATGTTACATCATTTTCTTTTCCTTTTTTTCTTTTCTTTTTCTCTTTCTTTCCTTGTTTCTTTCTTTCTCTTTCTCTCTCTCCCTTTCTTTCTTTCTTTATAATATTAAAGGACAGAAGTCAAAGATTATATTTAAAAGTAACCTAGGCATCATTACAATGTTTATATCATAACAAAATACTAACAAGTAAAGCATTTAATAATATTATAAAAGAGCTGCAATAAATATTTACTGAATTTTTATAAGGATAGGTGGTACAATGTTAGTACAAGTCTTCAAGTCTTTCAAAAGGGTACATAACAGGAAAAATTTTATACTAACCATTCAGCTGAGAGTGATTTCAAATGGTAATCAACCTTACAGATTTTAATTTTGGATTTAAGTCTACAAGTTGTGAAAGAGCGCCTTTCCTTGGCTAATTGCAGAAAGCAAAATATCCAGCAGAGGGCACAACGGAGGTTTGGAAACTATACCTATTAATTTCTTTTCACCCTTTATGAGCAGGTCATATCATAAAAACAAGGTCAGTCAATTCGAATGTACTATTGTTGAAGGAATTCAAACATAACAAAAGAGAAACCATTCAGGGACAATGCACAAATATTTTAAATTTACACTGGGGTGGCAAGTAAGTAAGGGAAATTATTGGAAAACTAGAAACTGGGTAAATGCCCAGAGTCCTTCCTAATGCTATCCTGTAAACAGCACTTGCAGCCCTTACTCTAAGAGACACACACTGAACATATGGTCAGTTGATAAGAAACATGTCAATAGACAGATTCCATTTTTATACTTTTCTAACATTCACAATCATGACCAATAACCTCAACATTATCGGAATGGGATAAAAATCATGTTTGTTTTCAGATCTGGTAGAATTAAACATGAAGTAAAACTACCAAATAAGCACTGTCCATTTTGAAAAGTTAACAGGTTGTTTAAATTAAGACAATCCTTAAAGGGAATACTTAAACACTTAATGTAACAAGAAAACAATAGTTTAAATATAAATGAAATCCTTACTACAACAAAATGCAGAATTTCATCTTCGTTCAGTTCATTTTTCAATTTTCTGAATAAAGTCTGCATTGCTTTGCATGGTCCACACCAGGCTTGGTAAACATCAATCACTAGAAGATGATGACATTTATGAAAGAACAGAGTCAAAGATTTTAAAATAGCAGCTTATCTCAGTGCTGGGGCAGGGGCGAGGGCAAAGGCATAGAGTTTTACATTGGAAGTAGGGAGGCATGCTCTGTGTTGGGGTACCATGAGGTGCCCTGGGCCAAACTCCAGATGGCTAGACAACGGGGGAGCTCTAGTACCTGTTAGACCTTTGTTCTGCAACATCTCATCCCACAGGCTTTGATTATTGATGACTGCCTGCAATAAGGAAGGCATTGTAAAAGGTATTCAAGTGCCAGTGCACCAAGTAAAAATTTGTTATGTCATGCCCACCTGTAACTGGATTTCTCGCTTTTTGCCCGCCATTTATCCACTATCACATGGAAAAGGGAAGAAAAATAGAAAATATTTCAGAGGAAATTTAAATAATGTTTTTTCTGTTTATGCATTCATACAGTATCTTAATGTACCGCAGATTTTTTTTTTTTTTTTTTGGTATTAGATTATGCACTGTCTTCATTTCTAGAGAGAGAGAAAAGTCATTGAAGGGACTTTTCACGCTGGGCTCTCTGTTAAGTGCCTACAGCAGCCAAATGTCTTATTCTCTGAATAGTCCTGAAGCAAGGTGAGAATGTTAGGAGTTACAGTTTCTTAAAAATTGTTTTCCTAAGGTAGTATCGTTTTCATTCGCATATGTTAACTGTCTATGAACATGCCCATGGATCTTTCTTGGGTCCCTTTCCAAAGATATTTAATATTTAGAACAAGGCCACTAGTGTATTCGAGAGCACAACATAAAACTTTCCGCAGATATTAAATCAGTGAGGACCAAATGCTCTATTCGGTGGTATCAAGGATGTTAAGAGTGTAGTCCGATTACGTGTGTGACAGCACATTAGTGAAAAACAAAGGAGTGACCACGAACAACCAAGCTACACACCCGCAAAGCATGTTGGATTCCCCAACAAGCTCTCACAACGCAGAGCTTCCTCTAACCTACGTTAAAACCTTTAAAGGCAAGGAAGAAACAACTCCCCAGGATCTAAATCGGCCCTTTCGCCGAGGCACATGACCTTTGTGGGATGAGCTCACCAAGTTCGAGACCTGGCCACCTGGCAGGGGATGGTCGGTCTCCTGCTGTGCTTTCAACCTGTGCTAGACAAGCGGAGGACTAGGAAGACAGGCTAGAAAGAAGGGCGAAGGGGTTAGACACCAACGTTTCCTGCCAGGCCTCTGGCGGCTCGCGAGCATGGCCTCTCACACCTAAAGGGGCACGGCTCCAGCCTCCCTACCCCCAGCATGCAAACCTAGGAGCCGTTACAGGAGCAGTTGGTTGGAAAATCGACCCCCTTCTTGACACTAAAGGGATTACGCAGGTCTGTTCCCCTTCCTTCAGCTGCCTCCTCCCTTTCTTAGTCCCTGCCAGTTCCCCTCGCCTCCAGGTGTGTGTGTCGGGGGGCGGGGGACGGGGGACGGGGCGGGGCGGAGGGCGGCGGGTGGTGGCAGCTTGCCTAAGTGCAGGTTTGATCAGCTCTTTCCTGGGCGGGATTTCTTCCAGGGGTTGCCAGGATTTACTACATGAAATGTATACTCAGATAGGAGACAAAGGCTCTCAGAAATCTCTTCAACTTCTGCACCTTCCTTCTTTCTTTCTTTGTGTCTTTCTTTTCTTCTTTCCTTATTTTTTTATTTAGAAATAATTTTAGACTTACAAAAAAGTTTTTGAAAATAATGCACAGAACACCCATACACTCTCCCCTTATCTTTCCCCAAGGTTAGCATATTTCATAACCACATTACAGTTATCATTGCAAGCAGAACGCCAACACTGGTACAAAACTACTCTGTAGACCTCATACGAATCTGTCCAGTTTTCTCACGAATATCATTTTTTCTGGTCCAGGATCCAATCCAATGACCTGCATGACATTTAGTTGTCATGTCTCCTTAGTTTCCTCCAATCTGGATTGTTCCTCTGGACCATTTTTCTTTGTCTTTTATAACTTTGATGAGTATTTCTCTCTTTTTTTTTTAAATTTCATTATGTCATTTGTAGAATTCATACCAGGAATATTTTTAAAGTAAGTTTTTAAAAACACACTCTCCTTTTCTTACTGTATGAATTCTGTTCTTTACACTTAGTATCTTTTTCAGCTTTCTCTATTTTTCTTATTTTTAGCGTACCAGTCCACCCCGTTTATTGAGTCTGCTAACTGTCCTTCTTGATTATTCTTTTTCTTTCGGTGTTTGTAACTTTTGAATGTGAGCTAATCTTTAGAAGGGATTGATTTTTATGTGAGCTTCTGAGATAGGACTGTGGGAATGAGGCACGACAGATACTCCAGGGACATCCCCTCCCACTCCAGGATATGATTCTTGAAATTTTTTTCCTCTCTTCAGTCCTCCCCCTGTTTTAGCCCCAGCAAGGGGAGATAAGCCAAACTGGACTTTTCCAGCTCAGAAGCCATCTTTGGCTAAGGCATGACCTTTGTCTAATTATAATATCATTATAGTCTCATCTGCAATGCCAATATTGTGTCTTCCATCCTGCGCCTGATGCTATGACACATCTGGAAACACCATATAAGGAAGAAAAAGCAGAAAACCTAGTTCCCCACCTACTGGGTGGAGACAACAATGCTACATCAGTACTACATTTCTGGTCTCTACCTCCAAGAAGAACAAAAGCCCGAAATTAAGACATCCTCTCTCTCTCTCATTCACCCACACTCTCCTCTTGAGTGTGTACTTTCCTTTTAATAAATCTTGTGCTTTCCTGCCTGATGTTTGTCTTGCCCTTGAATTCTTTCTCTAGGGATAAGACAAGAACCTAGTTACCAGAGCTCCAAGCTCTCTGGCAACAGAAACATACATGTATAATGATGTCCAACATGCCTTTGCCTGGCCCCATTGATATCTAGGCTACCAGGCAAGTTGTATGTTAATTTCTCAGCTTAGTTTTTCTATTTTCAGTTGACAGCTGAAAAGCCAAATCCATTTCTATGGATAGCACCTTCTGGGATCTGAATTACTCTACACAGAATTCCAATGGATGGCAAGCATTCTTGCTCCTATCACTATATCAGTTGGGAGGGAGAAATGTTTATAGTACCATTTCTGAAATGTGACAGCCCATCTTTATTTCCAGCAGTACGTAGGTAGTTGCACCTAACCGTAACATGGAAGTTAAATCCTCGACTCTCAACTCCATAGTGTGTGGACATATGGAGATGTAGATATCAGAATCCCTACCTTGTCTATTAAGGTTCATTATCCATTACAATACTCCAATGAATCCTTTCTGCTTTATTCATGCTAACTCCTAAGACTTCAGTTTCTTATCTTGTTTCTCTTTCCTGTATATTTCTTTCTCTTAGGGTTCAGCTAAATTAAAAATTGTTGAAATAAAAAAAATCTGAGTTATTTTATTCAGCATTTTTACCTGTTTAGACATAGGCTGGGCATCTTTCTTCTCTAGCTTAGCCAACCATATTGGCTAGAAATTAATCTGCTGACTTTTCACTTTAGTCATGCCTCCCCTGTGATTATTACCATCCCTATAACTTTATGGATTTTCATTTTGCTTAAAATTATTCAAGCTTTCCTCAAGTTTCTTTTAGCTTCTGAAAATAGATAACTTTCAGAAATGATGCTTCTGAGCCGTCCTCAGCTACTATCTCTCCAGTGACCTAACTTATTTTCCTCTTAGCCCCATGATGAAGTTATTTCTCTTCGCCCTTCCTCAGAATGAGACTTATTCTGTTCTTATAGGGTGAGGGGTTGGCTTGGTCTGGGAATCGTTTTGTGCCCACTTTTCTCTAGTAACATCTATAGCTGGAGTACAGGTTGTGTGCATAACTCCCAGTTTAATTCCATTTTCAGCAAGTTTCACATGGGTCACTCTGTTCTACTGAGGTGGCTTCTTATGACCTTCTTATTTCTGATTTTCTAGAGAAAGACAAATAAGACAAATACATCTATAACTGCCAATATTCTCATTGCATGTCTGCCTTGATTCTGAGCGGCCTAGGAACACACTTCCCACCATGCACTGCCCTCCTTGCGGTTTGTCTTTTCAATATGCAAAACTCTTTCATGATATTAGTCTGTTAGTTACCTAAATTCTGAGGCCTGTTTCACAAGCATTAGTGTTTTCAGCCCAGTTCTTCTCAAAAAGCCATTAAGATAAACCTCTGGAGAAACTTAAGTTTTCTTTTGGGCTCATGTTGACAACGCAGGTGCCACAAACTTTCCTCTTTAAGGAATCTTTTTCTCTATTCCAACTATTGGGTTGAACCCAAAGGTCAATTTACTGACAGTCTAACCTTTGGGAAATAGCAATAATAGAAAATATATAACACTTCTTTCTAAACACCAGATGGCAAAGTGCTCTACATATTTATTCTTGATTGGGTAAAATCCTATTTAGAAATCCTCCTGCAGATAACCCTGTTCATCTATTTGACCCACTCTGGAAATGAGGATCCTGTCTACGAAGGTTCATTCTACTCTTTAACCCTAAAGTTGCTTCTTATATCCCAACCTATGTATAGCAGCTGGAAATCATTTTTTAACATTTTTCTTGTTAACCCCAAAAGGTATTATTCTTCAGGCACCTACAGCAAGAGTTTAGCAGGTGTTACAAATGTTCATGAACATGATTCACTCAAATTCTTCACAAAATAGTTTTGCTAATTAAGGGAAAACATGACTTGTACACAAAAAAAGTTTCAATGTATTCTCAAATGAGCACAGACATTTAATAATGATCAAGACACACAAGGCAATAGGTGAAATTAGTTTTTTAAACATCATTCCCACTGTTTGGAAAAATCTTCAATGTTGAGGTTTTGGAACAAACTTGATGAGCTTTTGATTTTGGTCTTCCTAGAATTGATTTCAAGGACAAATGCATTCTGAAAATGTTATATATAAAAAAGGTATTTATATTTTATGTAACACTGGTATAAGCATTGCCTGGGTTATTTGTTTGTTTTTGTCCTCTCAGAGTACTATCTATAGTATTTAATTATTTTCTTGGGTCATAGATTTTTTACCACATGAACGTTTCATTTGCATGTCCTCTGGATCTCTACATATATAGGAAGACACAGAGATGAGAAAGTAATTTTCTTCAAGTTTACTGAATCTATTTTTTGCCATTTCTCATGTGTTGAGTCCATCTAATGAATGTTTTACTTCAGTTATTATACATTTCAACTTTAGACTATCCATTTTTAATAGTTTGCATTTCTCTGTTGAGATTTCCTATCTGATTCATACATCGACATCATATTTTCATTAATTTAAGTACTTTTTCTTTCTTTGAACATACTTTTTAATAGCTGTTTTGAATCTTTGCTAAA